GAAAGACTCTATCAAAAACATATTTCTCTCTCCCTCTGTGTGTGTGCAATGTTGCTTAGCAAAGATATTCACCCAAATACAAGATATGACTTAAGAAAGAAAAAAAAATTACAGAATAAATTGAAAAGAATATATTGAAATTCTAGTCTATTCAATCTTGAGCTAATCAGAATTGCAAGTGAACAGTTGACTGAATTCCTGAAACGTTAGTACACACATAACAAAACACAATATCATAGAACCAGTAGAAAACAATATCATAGAACCAGTAGAAAACAATATCAGACACAATAATATTTGTTATCATCAAAATACAAACACAGTGCTTATATCAGATTTGCAATACTTTCTAAAGCAGTTTTTTAGTACAAAAAATTTTTGAAATAGAAATTTTGGTAGGTACTAAAAAAATTGTTTTAGAAAGTAGTAAGAAAGTCGTCTCAAATGAAACCTTACTTGGCAACAATTTAATTTAATTCCCTTCTATATCTATTTTTTAAAAAATATTAAGTAGGGGAAGGATGTATTTTTTAGATGCTTTCAAGAGATTTTTATGCTAAAAAACTAATGTATAAAATAGTAAGAAATCTGTTATAAACATGAAGAGTAAATTAAATGATGATTTGCCTATTATGCGGTTCAAATAATTTTTATTAAAAGCAATTATTAATCTCATTTTGTAGAATATAATAATCATTTATTTATTAGCTCATAAATAAAAATTATTTATAGAAACACATATTATAGCATAAAAGGTACGATTTAATCAAAAAAATTATCTCATATATTTTATTATTTATTCCATACATTAAAAAAAAACCATTTAATTGTTTTTTGTGCAATTTGAGGCTAACAAAATTTTAGACGCCATTTAAAAAAAAGAAATTTTTTTGCATAAAAAGTTTGCATTTATCACATGGTAATAACAATTTATTTACTCTGTCCAATTCAGCAAAAGTCTGGCCTGTCCTGTAATAATTTTCTTCACAGCCGTCGTTGGCTAAACAATTTAATATTTACACCCCATATCTGTCTGTATTCATAATGTCCTTACATTTTAACCCACCTAAAATTTAATTTTAATTATAAAAAGAGCCAACCTTTCTTGACCACTTTGTTTTTAAAGGAATCAAAACTTGAATTTTGTATCTTCTTTCTTTGGATTTATTTCAATGTTGAATCTGACAAGCACTAAGACTACTAATGGATCACAATCTTTTGGCATTATGCAAAAGATATCAAGATTAAGATGTCATCTTTATCAAAATGATTTTTTTTTTTAATATTTTTTTTTGTAATAAAAAGTTTGATTTTGAAAGCAATATGGCTGACTCTTGATTTGAACTTAACATATAGACATAAATTAATTAATTACAAAATTAATGCTTTACTAATCTCATCCTTCCCCTCCAAAGATGGAAAACTTATTACATGCGGAGTCTGGACGATTCCGACTCCAATAACGTGAAGACATGTGAATTTTTTTTCTCTTTTATACATTGGGTGTGTATAAGAGAGAAAATCCGATTGTATTCACGTGATTGGAGTCCGAACGAAAAGTTGCGTTTGGCTTTCGCAGTTAATAATATTAAGAATAATTTTCTTTGATAAATGTAGTATAATAATCAGGGGTTGATGAAAAAGGATTGCAGACTAAATGACACTATAATATAAAAAAAAAATGTAATGTATTTAACATGTTTGGAGTTGTTTGGATGAGTATAAAATAAATGCATATGATTTTTTTTTTGCATGAAGTAAAATAAATGTAATGTAAAGGTCAATGATGATGGCTGTTTGAGGTCAGCAAGCGAGGGTGATGGTTGCAACGAGTTGCACCGAGCTACAGCTGACAATTATGGCAGGTGGTGACGAAAGTGGTAATTGGCGATAGTTTGCGGGCGTAAATGACATAATTTGTATTGTATTTGGAAATCAATTAGATTTCATGATTTTCAATTACACCAAATGTGAATTCACTACAATAAAATGATTGATTTCTGACAGAATTTTTCATCGAAAATATGCAAATTTCCATAAATAAACACATTTCCGGCAGAACATTTTTACCGGTAAAACATGTGTCGAAAAATAATTACTGATGAAAAAAATTCTCTAGAAAAATTTTCGATAAAAAATGCTACCGCTGTAAAATAAAAAAAAAAATCAGCAAAATTAAATTATTATTTTTGCTCATCTTTTCTCCTCAAAATATGATATTATTTTACGAATTTCAATATTATATTGCGTTTTAAATTTATCAACCAAACATTTCAACAATTCTTGAAATGTATATATTTGGAATGTATTACTCTATAATGCATCCAATCACATGGCCCCTTAAAGTTAAAAATTCTCCTTCCAATGTGGAAATAAATAATGCATTAATGATTATATTTTATTATTATATAGGCCAAAAAAAGATAATAATAATAAAAATATATATATAATAAGAAAAATATTTATCATCAATAATAAAAATATATTACAACAATAACTGCTCAAAATTACTTCCATAAATATTTAGTATATGATAATTAATGCCCAACACATTGCATGTGACATTTATATTTCATGTGTGATGGTGAAAATATCACTAAGATTTTGTTTGAGACGGCTTTCTTACTGCTTCTCAAAGCAGTTTTTTAGTATAAAATTTTTAATTTTTTTACTAAAAAGCTGTTTCAAGAAGCAGTAAGAAAGCCGTCCCAAACGAAGCTTAAGATATTTTGATTAGGCGACACACTATGGGAATGTTGAGCTATAATCACATTTTTTTAAATAATATGGTTAAAAACTATATTTATTATTATTACTATTATTTAAATAGAAATTTACATAAATGTCATTGAATTTTTACTTATTAGTAATTTAGGGCCTAAATCACATTTAAATATATATACATAAAAATATATATATATATCATTTTAAATAAAGTAATATCAATAATATTTCTTATGCAGTGAGATAATTAAAATATTATAGATTTATATGGATACATATACTTATATATTCCACTTTTAAAATATAACATTTAATGATATTATTAAAATAAAATGTGGTCAAAACTCAATTTATTTTGTTTTAGAGGTGAGATTTAAAAATATTATTATTATTTTTATTTAGGGTTTGTGGTGGGGGAAAAATTATTAGGTCCTCCGACCGGACGTAGAGCTACGTCCGATCGGAGCTAAAATCACGCCAAAAAACGAGAAATACCGAGCAATATCAAACAATAATGAGGAATATCATCATGTGAAGATCCAATACCGAGTTATACCGAGCTATATCGAGCAATACCGAGTTATAAAAAAAAATACAGAGTTTTTCCTAGAAAAAACTCGGTATTGTTCGGTATAGCTCGGTACAATTCGGTATTGGTCTTCATAGAGCGGTATTCCTCGTTATTACCAAATAATACCTAGCAATACCGAGTTTTTTGACGGGATTTTAGTGCCGACTGGACGTTCCTCTACGTCCAGTGGGGGACCTAATAATTGTTCGTGGTGGGGAGAGGAAGATGTCATGGACTCATGCGATTAACAATACTCATTAAAGCCTTAAAGGCATGTGCATCAGCATCCACCGGCCAAAGGATAGCTCATTTGTATGAAATCATTCAATGCCTCCAATCTAAGAGCTTGCTTGGATTGGCTCTATTGAAAGGGGATGGGGACATTTTCTTAATTATAGAATTTTTCAGTCACTTATTTGTCATTTCTTGTCATGAAAAATTAGGATAGTGGTGGTGGGCCCTCAATTGAGCAAAAGATAAAGGTGTGAATTAGGGTTTTTGGTATCAAATTAGTGCCCACTAACTCCATTTACTTCTACTATTATTGTAGTAAAAAATCAACTTGAATTTTTTTGAATTATCTGTGCGTGAAATCTCTTAAGAAAATAAAGTTAAACTCTTAAATATCAATATATTTTTTGGTGTAATGGTTGAAATTCCTATAAAAAAAACTTTAAAGTTAAGTGTGCTAGCAGCGACAACAATTCTAAGATGGGTAATATTCTGGAAAGTTACGCCAACATGATAAAATCGTGAGGTCATTAGACCAAAGTGAACAATGCCTTATAGTTAAAAATTTGGATTGTTACATTGTGACTCATTGGTTAAAAAAAATAATTGTATCTTTAAAATTATGATTTCGAGTAAAAGCTTTTATCATACTATGTGGGGTCGGTTACATGAATCATTTTTCTTCATTGTGTATAATTAAGAGATAAATTTTCATTTAAATCTAATAAAAATCCTTTTTAATATTTTTTCTCAAATCTTTTTAGGTCTATCTCAACTTTTTTTAATATAGACTGAATCTAATATATCTACCCTCCTAATAGGATCATCAGAAGGCTAGCGTTATGAGAATAGAATCAGAATTGAACTATATTTTTATATTCAATTTTATTTGATTGTAAGGTCTAATTACCCTCTTCAATTTCACATTATTCTTTTTTTAGAGAAGATGAAATTTATGGAATTTAATAACATTTAGAACATAGTAATTAGAACTCAAATATACAAAACTAGAATGCATTGCATAAAAAAAAATAATAAAAAATACAAAAAAAAAAGAATGCATTGCATAATTATATATTTTTGAGCTATAAATAATTTACATTTAAGCATATTAGAGATTGTACAAATATCACTTAAAAATTGCCAAAGTTGTTATTTTTTTTTTTGCAAAATTATTAAAAACATATCTAATTTTTTAGTCTTTTATTTTTTTAATTATTACTATCCTTAATACATTTCCTAGCCCATGGCCTTCATATAATAATGAATTAAGCAAAGTGTTTATGACAAAAATTAAGATTTTATTTAGGATGGCTCATGCTTTTTTATTTTTCTTTAATATAATTAAAAAAAACAATTTTCTTTATATAATTCCTCAAAATTATTTTCAATAAAGAAATTTTTGAAAAAAAAAAAAATCCTTCCATTTCTACCACAAAAGTAAACAAACAAAAAAAGAGGCTGAAAAAATGCCAAAAAAAAAAGAATATTATTTTTATTCAAGCTTGTATTATTCTCAATACCTCTTCTAACCTATGGTTGCTCTTGGCCATCCAGCTCAAAGAGATACTATTCTGCACTGTACAAATTCAAGTAAGAAAAAAACTTCAAAATGCCACACAATTATGAAAAATCTAGCCCCCCAACACTTGACAAAAGAAGCTAGTCAAAGCTTGAAGAATGGCTCCATCTGTCTTGAAGATATTCATCCAAAGAGTTTAAATGGTTCTGTTCAAAGCTAATCACTGAAGCATCATCATCTGCATCAAGCAATGCAAGGTCAAGATGTGATTCCATGCTTGATGAAGGATAGGCTTCTTCATCATGGCAATCTTGCTCAGTGAGATTGCTAACATTTGAGCCCATCCATGGCTCAATCTCTTGTTCCCCTTCAAGAATCTCCAATATCTACAAAAAATTTTAAACTTAGAAGAAGTGAGGGCCAACTTCCTTATCTCCAATACTTTCATGGCTTCTTGGTAAGATTGATACCTGATTCATCTGAGGACGGCAACGAGCCGATCTTCTGATACAGAGCGACGCAGCGAAAATCATTCTTTTCATCTGGTTCTCCTCATATTTTCCATCAAGATTGGGATCTAATAGCTCCATAAAATCTCCTCTCTCTAATATTGGCGTGGCCTAATAATAATAACCAAAATTCTGACAGATTATTTGGTGCTGAATAAAAGGAATGGTGAGAGGAGAAGAGTCTATCACTTACCCAAATGACCAAACTCTCCAACCCCTTTGGGCTTTCATCATTGATTGGCTTTCTACCTGTTAGGAGTTCAAGTAGAACTACACCAAAGGCATAAACATCAATCTTGATGCTGACCTTTCCATACATAAAGTATTCAGGAGCTATATATCTGCCAAATAAAATCAATTTTAAAACTATTTTAAACATTTTGCGACCAACGCTTCGTTTTTGAGATAGCTTTCTTCGTGCTTCTTAAAACAGCTGTTTAGAATAATTTTTTTTTTTAACTAAAAAAAAATTGTACTAAAAAACTGCTTTAGAAAGCAAGAAGAAAGCTATTTCAAATGAAGCTTAAAATAGAAAATCAATTGAAGAGATTCAATCCAAATAGAATTCAAATTGGAGAAATTCAACTTACCCAAAAGTTCCAACCACATCACCATGAGTTAGGTATGGTGAAGAAGTGGGTCCCCATATGGCCAAACCAAAATCAGATAACTGTCAAACAAAAGAATCACATGTGTCAAATACATCATATTAGCTCTAGAAAATTTTAAATTATGGTAAAAGAAAAAAAAATCAGGGCATTCTGATCAAATTTCAAAACCGTCGGATTTACCTTAACATGAGTGCATAAAATACATAATTTATATTACACTCATCTCAAAGCAAATCCAATGACACTAAGGCTTTGTTTGAGACGGCTTTCTTGATACTTCTTAAAGTAGCTTTCTAGTACAAAAGTTTCAAAAAGCTACTTTAAAAGCAGTAAGAAAGCTGTTCCAAATGAAAACTAAATCCCATCAGGATCAAACTTTTGGTCAGGCATCCTAACTTCTGATCGAATTTTTACCACTGGTTCACATTCATCAGAAAGAAGAATGTTGGAAGACTTGACATCTCTATGAATCACAGGCCTTGGGCAGCCATTATGCAGATAGTTTAAAGCTTCAGCAACTCCAACTGCCACCTTAAACCTCATATCCCAATCTAGTGGAGTCTTGGCTCGTTTACCTGTGCTCATTTCAAACATTAAACAATTACTTTTGAAAATTTTCAATTAAACTTGAAACAATAAAAAAATTCAAAATCTTGTATTAATGAGAAAAAGAAATCATTCACTGAGCAAAATTTCTGATAAAATTTTCTGCAGAATCTCACCATGGAGGTTCTCTTCAAGACTTCCTCTTGAGAAGAAAGAGTAAACAGAGATAGGATTGCTGTCTTCAACACAGATACCGATTAACGACATGACGTGCTTATGCTGAAGCCTTGTGATGATATCTACCTCAAGAAGAAAATCTCTTGATGATTTTTCAGAAAATTTTGATACTTTAATAGCCACTTGATGACCATTTGGAAGACAACCAATATAAACTTTGCTATTTCCTCCTTTGCCTATCAAATTTTCTGTTCATGAAGTGAAGAAATGTAAACATCAAATGTATTTGATATGCAAAAGAGACATTTAAGAAGCAGAAATGGGACCTGTTGAGAAGTAATTAGTAGAATATTGCAGTTCCTCGTACTTTAAAAATTTGAAAGTTGAAGAATTTAGTGCCACAATTATCTCCAACTCCTTAATCAGATTAACCTGTGGTTTTATAGAAGAGAAAGACCTATCTGGCAGGTTCATCACCCATTGGACTACAGACATTTTCCTCTCATCACTGTCCTTCAAAGCTTCAATGGATGTGACAGATTTGCACAGTAGCGGCCAACCAGGCTTCGGTTCAGGCAACTTTCTTGACAAAGCTGAAACTGAATTTCTGCTACTTTTTCTCATCTTATCATAAGAAATAAGGCAGTAATCCTTCGATTCTTTCATAGATTTCTTTGCAACTTTCTTTCTTTCATCTGATAATATTCGAGCTGAAGTTGGAGCTGTGAGTTTAGTATCCATACCAATTCTTGGATGCAAGAAACTTTGAAGGTTTTGCTTCCCTTGTACTCCTATTGGAACTCTGGAAAATTAAAATTCTATAAACTTGTAGAATGAAATTTGAGATGATGAATTCAGAATATGGAACCTGAAATTGGTTTCGGTTGATTTGGCGCCCTTTCGAAGATTATTTGCTCTTTATGAACTGCAATTACAGAAACAGTTGAAGGGAGTTTCTTGGCACAATACTTAGCCACAGATGCTGAGAACCTGAAAAAGTGAAAAAATAAGAACAATCGAGTATCAATTTAACAAAAGAAATACAATTATGAGTGTGTTTTTCCTAAAAAATACCCAAAAGAGAAGTTCTTGCTTGCTCCAAGAACAACTGTCTTAGCTGCACAAAACTCAGCTTCTTTCACCAAGATTCTCTTAACTGAGCTCCCCCGGGCCATGCGGCCTCCAAGAATTATCTGAAATCATTGAACTAGTTAGAGAAGCCTGGTAGTTAGCTTCTTAATGAAAAGGTGAAAATTTTACTTCATTTACAAAGCTCACCTTCTTCCTAGTACAGAGATCCTCATGGTCTTCCATGAACTCGTTCAAGATTCTGAACAAAGTAAGCGTTGGAGTTCTGCTTATTTCTGAAAGAAGAAAGCATACGAAACAGAAATAAACAAAAATCCAAGAGTTTTAAGAGATTTCTGAATCGGTGGGTTTTCAAATACCTGGATGATTCGGGGAAACATTGACGGCCATTACACAATCTCCTTCTTTGGCGATATTTGCGAGAGCCCAACCGAGCAATTTTCTTCCATCACCATCAATTCGAAACCCAACAAAAATACATCTTTCCTTCCTGTCCTTTTCCTGTTCAGCGAATCCCTTCTCAACCACCATCCTGATTTTCTGACTCCTATAAACAGAAAAGGATCTCTGAAATCTTGTTCAACCTGAACAACATGAAAAAAGAACTTTTTTTTTTTTCAAAACAAATCGAAAAGCGCTTCGACTTTGGGCATGAAAGGGTTCAGAACTCCTACCTAATAATAGAACAAGAACAAGAACAAGAAACTCCTGGAAACAGAAGAACCGGAATTCCTCTAAAAAAACAAACGGAGCAGAAGAAAACTACCTAAAATCTCGTTTGCTAGTCGCATTCGAGGGAGATTTTAAAAAACGAATGATGAAACTTGATCGCAGTCTGTGAAATCATCGGCTTAACTGCTCCCAAAAATAATAAAAATTGAGTTTTTATTGGGCTGCGGGGAAGAAGAAAAAAAGAAATGAGTTAGTGCAACGGTGGAGCCTTGATGACGCCGGAGTTTAGTTAGGCGGGAGTTTTCTATTACCAGAAGGACGAAAGGGGCGCGAAAGAAGTGGTTCAGGGGAAAGAGCACTAAAGAAAAGCTGAGAAAGCTTGAACCTCAAAGGAAAGTGGAAGACTCCATGAAGAAGACCACTTGAAGTGGGGACGACCGTCCCTTTTATCAAATTTTTAAATATTTATATATTTAGGTTTCTACTTTGGTTTGAAATAATTATTAATTATTTTATTTTTTAAATTTCAACCATAATTTCTATTTTATAACTGTTTTTCTTTAATAAAATAATTTATAATAAAAAATTAACTTTCACAGTGGCATTAAAAAATTATTTTATATACTTTATAAAACAATTAAAAAATTATCTCAAATAAAATTTTAATATAAAAAAAATTATCAATGGAACAGCCAATACTGCATCACAATGTGGGAGTTGATGCTCCTCAGTCGTTGAGATATGAGATGGGCAGGCCATAAAATTTTATTTTTAGTTTAAATAAATTAATATTAATAATATTTTAATATGATTTAAAGATCATGTTATTATATAAATAAATATAAAAATTTAAATGTTATATATATATATATAACCTCTTCAATTTTATGATAAATACTTTTATCATATTATTTACTTATCATTTTCCTTTGCTATTTTATTTTATATATTTCATGGATTTTACCTATTTAATTGTGTGCTTGAAGGTTCGTAGAGATATATATTAAATTTTAAAGACTTAGTTTTTACAAAGATCCAATACACACATAGATAATAAAAATAATAACAATTAATTTTTTTGGGAAAATAAGAACATGAAAAAAAATCACGAGGATTAGCCCAAATGAAATAATTTAATTTGTCACAAAAATTTGCTTTCTCGCTCAATTAAAGAAGATGAGATTACAAGTTTGTATTTATGTAAACTTGAGGGAGAATGTTAGAGATATAACAATTAGATGATGTTAGTCGAGTAATGATGATTAGATAATGACAATCAGATAATGATAGTTAGAAGATGATGATTAGATTATGATAATTGGGTGATGACAGTAAGATAATTGAAGTTGGACGAAGTTCTTGGTAGTTTGATGACGATAGTCAAGCGATTGAGGTCATACAATAGAAGCCAATCGATAATGATTGATAATTGAATGATCATAGTCAAGCGCGATGACAATCAAGTGACAGTTGTGGTTTGCAGTGACTGGCTGCTTTAGAGTTTTTAGTGCTCTAAGCTCTCTCTTGACTTAATTCTAGGTTCCTCTTATGTGGAGAATAGTGCTTTATTTATAATACTTTTAATTAATGTGAGCATTTTATAAATTTAGTTCAAATTTCAAAACACTTAATGAGACAATTCATATTAAATCTTTTAATAATAAATTATTTATTCAGCATTCAGGCATTGTAATGTCCTCGGAATCAAGTTATCTTGGGCTTGTTGGATTTGTCTCGTTGAATCACTCATTTTGACTATAAGAATGCAAAATTCCGAGCCCATTTGGTCATCCAATTAATGTCCCAAAACTTTAAACTATTATTCAATCACTTGATTGAGCTTATTGGACTTGGATCAAATTATCTTTACTGTTATTAGATTTATTTCATCAAGAGGCTCGATTTGACTATAAAATTAATGAAATCAATATTCGAAGGATTCAAAATTTAATTCTAAAAACTTTCAAATATTGCATTAAGATTCATACTGATCAAAGTAAAATTTTTAAAGACATAAATTAATATTTTAAGAATATAAAAAATTACAATTGCATCATAAAAATAAAAAATAAAAAATAAATTTATTTTTGCTGAATTAAATTGCGGAGTTATAAAACCTAAGGAATAAGGATTAAGGTCAGCGTTCATCAAGTTTGAATGTTGACTACCGATGACCACTCGAAAAAATATAACATCTATGTTAAGAAACATCACAGAAATTAAATTTTTTTAAAGAAAAATCCATAGCGTTGAATTTGCATAATTTAGAACATTAAATAGCTTTGAACTGATTTTCTTCTAGACCAACATATAAGAGGAAAATTGTTAGAAGGATTTTATAGCATCAAAGTTAAAATGATAAATATAAATTAAGCAAATTTTTTATATTTAAGAAATTCAAAGCTTTTTTTTTCGCATGGATTTAGGATAAAAAAATTAATATGTTAGTTTTGGATAAAATTCAGTACGTATAGATAAAAGCTGCAAAAAAATAGAATTTTTTATGTGAAAAATCCTAAATGAGAAAAACTAAGGGGACCTGACCCATTTACAATAACTTACTAAACAATCTAAGATATAAAAACTTATACATAATTTAGTGAAAATGAAATTATACATAATTTAGTGAAAATGAAATTATACATAATTTAGTATAATTATTTCATTTCTCATCTTTGAGTTAAGAACATCAGGTGCCCAAAAGCGGACTATTAGGATCAGCAATAAAATACTAGGCAACTACACAAATAATTATTTTCATACAAATTAAGATGAGATGACACATAAGCAAAAATAATGATTTAATTCTTAAATAGGTCACGAATTTAATTGTCGCAATTTTTAGATAGCGTCTAATATATAATATTTGACTTATATGTATAAATATATGGGTCAACATATAGAAATTTCCCGATATTGTATACTCATATAGGCCACATTGGATATTTAACAAAGCTAGTTGATCATGACAAAAGAACTCATCCTCAAGAAGGGCCCATATTTGGAACTCTCCTAACGATAAAAATTTGTTTGGAACTCAAAATGAACTCTCCCAAAGTAATCAACAAGCACTACTCATTTAGGGCGTACCATGGAATTCATCTTGTGTGCGGAGAATCGAGAATTCCTCATCAGGCTAGTAACTCACCACATGCCTAGACTACCACCTTAATCACTCGATCGCTCCTCCTGAGAATGACCAGACTCAACTATAAGAGTGTTACTCATGGGACCCTTAGCTTACCTTGTCATGACCATTTCTCTCTCCTGAGGCAATCCAAGAGCTCACACAAAAATTGTTGACGAAGTTTGCAAGCACGCCAGTCATCGGTCCCCTTTCATGCCAATACTCGCTCACAGAACTTGCCCGAGTACACTCGCCCATGTCTACTCAATACTATAGGACTTCCTGGAAGTAACTCGATGAAGCTCTCCGACCTCGTTGTCTTTTAGACAATCGGGAGGGGACAAATGTCTAGAGTAACATATAGCATTGTATGAATATGATGTGTCGCACTATATTTTTAACTTTTTCTCTATGCGATCTTTCATATAACTCTTATAACCCTATAAATAAGGAGTGATAATGAATAATCTGAAGACTTTAAGATCTTGAACTTTTTTTACTTCTAACAAATACTCTATTAGTTTTAAATCTATAGTTTTTCTTGAGCATTCTATAGCACTTTTCTATACTCTCCTCACCCTCTTCATCCTCGCATGTTCAACACTTCAATTCGTGGGCTCCCTCGACAGGCTTGCTAGAAAATAAGAGATAACTAATCTTTATATTTAGTAAATAGCCCCTTTGCCAAAGCTCAAAGCAAGAGAAGCAGGTAACATGCAGTGCCCTACAAAACAAGGAATTTTCGTACAATAATAATATTAAATAAGGAACCTCTGAATCAATAATGGAGTACTAAATTTCCTAAATATTTACAGCATTTATTATACAAATCTGGCTCTAAACTTCTATCTCCATGATATCACATGTGAGAGTCACGTGGAATGATTTAACAAAATAAAAAATAAAAAATAAAAATTAATTTTTGGGTAATGAATGATGTAAATTTGAAGAAAATACAAATTAATATTATTTATGTTTGATTCATATTTTATTATACTAAAATTGAATAATAATTGAAATTTATTATCATCAAAGGCATCAATATTTTTTTTTGAGTGATAGCTTCAATTATATTAAATTTATGATTTTTATATTTCAATATTATTTAATCATTATGAAAGTAAATTATATATTGTTGATATTTGTATAGAACATTCATTGAGCTTTAAGTATTATGATTAATTTTGTTCAATAAATATTTTCATAATTATTATTTATAAATTAATGATTGGAAATATAATGTATTCTTTAATATTCTAATCAAAATTTTTCTCTTAAAACGGGTCAGATCCTACTCGATTAAATTAGCATTTTTTTAAATAACGTTGAGTGTCAAAATATAATTTAATATTAATGAAATTTAATCAATTTTTATCACTAAAGCTAATTAACATATACTTAAATTAGTACATTTTGCTTCTTAAAATATGAATGAGAGAGTATATATTTAATATAAATAAGATTTAATTAAATAATTTTGATAACAGTTAAATAAAAAATAACCCAATTAAACTTAATTAGTAGCAACTTAAGTTAGTATATTATTTATAAAGGTGAAATGAAAATTACAAAATACAAATTAGTCCAATTATTGATTATATATATATATATATATATATATATATATTATTCCTCTATTTCTTCGTGCACTAATTATTAGACCTAAGGCTTCAATGATGATTAATCAAATTCCCTTCAATGGATAATTTCCTTTTGCAATTTTTAGTACTATCAGATGGAATTAATCATTGTGAATTATTATTATATTAAAAAAAGAAAGAAAGAATTCTTTATGGAGCCATTTTTTAAAGATTCACTTACATATTATATATTTCTTATTCATTTAGATATTTAATATATTATTATTTTTATATTTATTTATATATTATTTCAACATCTTGTTTGGCCCCATAAATGTAACCTATAAAGGATTGATTTTATTGGATTATTGACTCTGTGAGTGGCATCTAAGTCTTACTAATAAGCATAATTCGAGCATTAAGAGAAAACATATCGAGTGAAAAAAAAGTGAGAGAAAGAGAACTACCGAGGATCTTGTTAAACTTTAGTGTCAAAAATTATATGATTGACGTGACATGAATTTGTTAGATTCAGCTAAGCTTATCTTTTGATCCCATATTTAGAATTTAAAGTTGCGAGGTTCAATGCTTCAAAAAAGGCTATTGATACATCACCAAAATATACATCTAATCAAACATAGATCTTGATGCAAGTATGTGAATTAGAAACTTTGACGATCTATTTTGGGACCATTCAAACTCATGTTTTAGCAAACTTATAGTCAAAATGAATATATTTATTAGACGATCCCAACAACACAAAAAACGTTTTCATTTGAGTCCAAATGAACATAAATAAAGCACGTGAGACATAGTCGTTGAAAACTTCATGATAATATTTAAAGGACAAAATGATGTCTAACTTCTACATGTTTAGAGTCAAAATGAGTATCTAAATGAGAGAAATCTAAAGAGTTCAATATCTTTCGATTCTAATGTCATTAAGGCACTTTTATTTCAATGAGCTTTCTAACATTTGTGTAAAATGATTTTGAGTGCAAAAAAATTTCATAAATTGAGCTCACCCTTTGACCTCCTATTTATAGTTTTAGGGTTGGGGCTTGAGTACCATTTTTTAGTTTTCCAAAAATCAGAACAACTGGAGGAAAGATTCAAAGAGAATGCTAGGGTTTTGATGACTGATGAGCGGCGAGGAAGAGCTTCGGTGCAACATCTGACGCTGGAGGCAACATGAGAGAGGGTTTTTGGCTTGTAGGGAAGCACAAGGCAGGGAGCGACTGCTCCTCTTTGAATCCCATGACCATTCGCTTCTGTTTCGACCAAAATCGAGACCCAGTCGGTCTTCCTCCTCCACATGTTCGACTTCCTTCCTCCACGTGAACAAAGCCAAGCTCTGCACTCTCCGCCTCCACCTCCTTACAAATATCCAAGCCGAACTATTTCACCTTTTTCCTGCGATGTCTAGGGTTTTCGCTCATGAATCTTTAAGTCGGGCCGGGTAACCTCGCATCTTCTTTCTTAATGCCTTTTTTTCTCAAATTTTCTTCCGAAAAGCTGGCATGGATGCTCTTCGTTTAAGTGACCCCAAATTTTTGGATGATAAACACAAATCATAGTCTTTTCGTGAGGTTTTGTCTGGTGAGTCGGCTTCTCTGTTGTTTCCTCCGCTCAAACCTTTTTCTCGCCATGGTTTGACAGCTTTGTTGATTTCAAAAGCTGAAATGAGTTCTCTTGTTACTCCGTTTGAGTTTGCTTTAGTTGGGAAGTTCCCTGCTCGTCTAAATTTGAAATTGATTGGTGAAATTTTTGTTACTTTGTTGAACCCTAAGAATATTTTGATTAAACTGAGAAATTATTTGGATTACTGTCGGGTGTTCTCCCACCATTCATATTTTATCAACAACTGTTATATGAAGCTTTTCAAGTGGTCTTATCACTTTGATGTGAATGTTAAATCTCATGTTATTCCTATTTGAGTGTCGTTTCCCTACCTTCGCCTGCATCTCTTTTTCCCTCGCATTTTTCCTGGGTTAGGGTCTTTGTTTGGTAGACCCTTACGTACTAATAATGCTATTATTAGTGGCACTAGATCTTTGGTGGCTCGTATACTTGTTGAGTTAGATATTACTAAACATTATCCTAATCAAGAGTGGATTGGCTCTGATTCTGTGGGGTACATTCAGTCTATGGAGATTGAAGAATTTCCCCTGTACTGCTCCCATTATAAATCTTTGGGTCATGTGAGAGATGTTTGCCCGATTATGTTTCCTGATTTGGGTCATTTGAAAGATGTTTGCCCTCTTATGGTGGAGGGACCTCCGATAGGTGCTCATACTTCACAAAATGATGGTGATATTCTGCCTTTCATTGTGGTGGATCATTGTGTTGGTGATGTCCCTCTAGATAACAATAGTGCTGATGGGGGTGATCCTTTTATAATTAATGCTGGGGAGCAAGAAAATATGGCTACATTGGTTGATGTTGATTGCCTTAACCCTGATAATTTGGTTTCTTCTAATGTAGCTTTCCTTGAGTCAGTGGATGTTAATTTGATTAAAGATAGTGTGGTTGAGGATTGTTGTGTTGCTTTGGCTCCTAGAGTGGAGGAGGTTGATGGTGTTGACCATTTGGATCATGGTGCTCCAGTCAAACATCCCTCTGTTGGGGGGAGTGTTGTTTTTGTGATTCTTTGGTTGATGTTTCTGTCGAGCAAAATTCGTCTAATGTTCTTAAGTCGCAAATTTTATTGAGATCGGGGGAGTCCTGTTTGAGGCAAATTGATTGGTTGGATGATTCTCAAGACTCTTCGTTCGGAGGGATGACTTGGGGGGTGACGTTGGGGCCACACAATATTTGTATGGTTTTGAGGTTTCTCGTGCTTTGGACCCCTTTCTCCCGTGGTGGCAAACGGCGTCGATGCAAATCTAGGAGATAAGAATATTTTTCTTTCCCCTTTTGTTTTTGTTTGCAGGGCTGGCTATTTTTTGTTTCGCTTGTGCTACTCTCGATTTTTTTGGGTTGGAATGCTCAGGTGCGCGCGGCTCGTTTTGGCTTGGTTTTGGTGATCGAGCTATGGCTCGGTTGCTTGGGTTATTTTCTTGCTCTATTGAGGTTTTGGAATTGGCTTTGAACTATGATAAAGCAATATCCCCGCATGCTCCGAGGATGGCCATGGCTTGGTTTTCAACATTGGTGGTCCTTTTCCTTATTAGTTTACTTTGGTGAACCTGATGTGTTTGGAATCTACGTGATTACCTCTGTTTCCTCCTTGGATGACACAAGATTGGCAACCAAGTGGCGGTCTGAGTCTATTTGCTTTGGGATTTTTCCTTTTCATTGTCTTGTTCAGGTTGTTTGGCCGGACACTAATTGTTCTATCCTCTCATTGTATTTGCCTTATATGTGGCCTCTTTTTTGGGCTTGTGTTGTAATGCCTCTTTTATCTAATGAAAATTTCTTTAAAAAAAAGGGGTTGGGGCTTGAGTATTGCAAAATTTATATACATATATGACTATACAAAAATTGAATGAAAAATATAAAAACAAGCACATTTAGAACTTCAAATTTGTAAAAGTCGTCCACCAAGCAATTTTCATTGGCTTGGCATGTATAGATGAATGAACAACTAAATATCCATATGAAGGAAGTCGTACACTTAAGTAGTCGTTAGGTCCAACTTGATAGATTGTACTCATTAGAATCGACTTGATAGGCCTCACTTTTTTTTGTTAAGGATGAGTTTATAGATAGTAATCGCTTGAGAGTTCATTTTAATGTAATATCGACTAGACCGAGTTAGCTTAAGTTGAAAAGGGCTAACTTGACTTGAATTAAAATTTCTAAATATTTGGTTATATAAAATTGAAGGCAATAAATAATAAGCACCATTGAAATAATTAGGCATGAAATAAAATAGGACGAATAATAATTTCAATCGCATAGCTAATTTTAAGTTTAATCGTGAGTTCGAACATATGTGGAAATCAATATTTTTATTACTTTATTTGGATTAAAATTTATTCTCTTTATTATATTATTTAAAATTTCCATTAGTTTTAAATGTTATGCATGTAATTTCTCCTATTTTTACATTAAAAAGATGTTATTACCATAATTGAATTGTAGGGATTAAAAAGGAAAAACCCAAATTAAAAAAAAAAATAAATAATATTTTGCATAATGTTTACTAAAAATATTATTTCAAAATATCTTAATATAATTTATATCGAAATTAAAATTAAACATATTTGCTTCCAAATTAGTACACTGTACTAATATAGTTATATCAAAATAAATTTAATAATTTTAAAAATACAATTTCTATCAAAATATTCTTACATTTTTAGCAGCAAAATATAAATTATAATTTCTAAAAAAACATTTTAATAAAAATACAATATAAATATAAAAAATATAAATATAAATTTAAATGTCAAATTTAACATGTACTAATGTACAGGACAAAATAATAATAATAATAATAATAATAATAATAATAAAATGTACAGGACAACACAACTCCCTGTGGAAAATCTTGCCTCCTAATAAATTCGCCACCTTCTTGTGATGTCATTGATACTTTCAAAATGTTGTTGGCCTTTAAATAGCTGAAATTTGTAAGATATCAGCATTTAATTCTTAGATGTTTGTCCAATAGGGACTGTCGTACATTTAATTTGGTCAAATAAATAAAATAAAAAATTAAGAAATTATGCCTATTTGATGTATTTTTAAAAATATTAGTGTGTTATTAAATTTTTAATATCAAATTTATTGGGTGTCAAAATATTTATGGCAGTAGAGAGATAAAGTTTAACGTCTTAATTTTATATGAACATCTAACATACATACAGATATAAGAGAGGTGTATGAATTGTAATAGACATGTGAGTAGATTTGTCTCGTCTAAAATTAAATTCAACATACCTATGGGTGGAGCCGTGGAGGAGGGCATAATTAGTAGATATTGGGTTCGTTTGATTTGTCTCGTCGAGAAGGTCGATTTGATTATAAGCATATCAAATTTGGAGATTATTTGATTACTCAATTAATGCCATGGAATTTAATTTCACTTAAGCTTCAAGTGCTTGGTCTGGGCTCATTTGAACTCAAAATTGGTCATTTTTTTATTGTTTGGTTTTTCATGTTTAAATGTTCAGTTTGACTGTAAATTTGTTGAAATTAGATTTAGGATAGTCCTTGATTTAATTTTGAAAGTTTTAATTTAAATATGCTTTGACATTCGTGCACGATCAAGCCGATTTTTTATTAGTGCATTAAAAAACTCATAATATATATTAATATTTTTCTTACCAATTGAAACCCAACATTTAAAGTCAAATAAAGTGAATAGGACAATAGATTAATACAAAGAAGTTAGTGCCAATTAATTTAATTGATAAAAATCATAAAAATTATTATCAAACTTTTAAAATATTTGAATATCATCTTTTTCAAAATTTATAATTCAACATATAATATTATAATAAATAAAACAATACAAAGAACATTAGTCCCTCAATTATAAGTGTGTCCTTGTAAGTTGGATGGATCATCATAAAATGGTTACTTTAATAAAATTTTCTCTTTATCTCTCTTTTATAAACGAGCCTTTATTTTTAATAGAAATAATTTTCTATTCATTTTTCATATGTTGCATAGGGTTTTTATTATCATTTATTGTTCATAAGAACCATGCATGCATAATATGTTTGGTATGCATACACTAATTTGACAATTCTTCAATAGAATTTAAAATTTTGCTTTCTTGGATAACAATTATTAGGAACGGTAATAAACGACCCAACCCACCAATCCAATCTGAACCTGACTCAAAATATCTAGGTTCGGATTAGCCTGCTTAATAAATGTGTCAACTTCAGGTTAAGTTTTTTTTAGTCTTTTATTAAACATATCAAATTTTGGTTGACCCCCGAGCTCATTTTAACGCGAAAATGATTCGTTTAATCTATTTTTTTCTTAATTTTTTTTTTAATTTGTGGCTAAAATCTTTTTATTTTTTATCAAATATCATAAACTTTATAGTTAATAATTTATAAAAAAAATAATCAAAACGGGTTAATGAGTCATGTTTGAGTCATTCGAGTTGCCAGTGGGTCATATTCGGGTTAATATTAATTTTTTACTCGTTAATTGAACGAGTTGGGTTCGAGTTGAGTGGATTTATGTCAAGTCAATTTCGATTCGGACGAGCTTGACCTATCAACCCGTTTTGACATCCATAGTAATCGTCATTGAATTAGCTATGCTAGATGCTCTTTTTTTAAAAAAAATTTTGTGAGTTATTCTAAGCCCTATTATTTGGTAAACTTATAATGCTCTTTTTATTTATAGCTTTTTGCTAGTTATGTTTTTATTTTTATTTTGGATAATTGATCCCTGTATCATCCATACAAGAAAAAACATCAATCACCCCTAAGATTAATGATAAAATAGGACAAATAATAATAGCTACATTAGAGAGAAAATAATGCCAAACCAGATTTTGATAATTGATATCAAAACCAATAGCTATGATCAACAATCATTATGAGAAAAGTTTCACTGATTTTTTTCCTTAATATCTCATTATTATTTTTCCTTTGGTTTCTTTTTTTTTTTAATATTTCCTTAGTTTGTTCCTTTGTATTATATCCCATCCAAAATTATTATGCATTTTAATAGTGAATAAATGAGATATGATTAATTATACCAACGAAGAACAATGCACACAATATTCCGTACTTTGTTCCTTTGTATTATATCCCATCCAAATTTATTTTGCATTTTAATAGTGAATAAATGAGATATGATTAATTATAATGGTAATTTCTCATGTCTAAATACATTTTATATTAAAATGGAATAGTAAATAGGAAATTTAAATTAAGATATTTTGTTTATAAATTGATCAAAATAAATTTAAAATTATTAAATTTTATTTGAAATCATAAAATAAATAATAACTAATTATAATTTATATTTTGCTTATCTCAAAATAAATCTAATGATTTTATAATTTACACTACATGAAAATCACTCATTACTGTCGGATATGTTGCGAACAATTTTCAAGTAAATTTCAGAGGGAAAATATTCCTCTGGAATAAACCGGGCAGAAAAAATTTTCCGGAAAAAAAAAACCAGTATTGTGTTGCTTACCATTATAGTGTTTTATGAAATTTATGAATGCATTCGAACCTTTTTGCTTTACTTATTGCAATGAAATAAATTATGTACTTTATTATTTAAAATGAAAGTCAATAGTAGATATGTGATCATAATTGGTTGCTCTTATCTAAGAATAAAGATCAATATAATGTAAAGACCTAAATTATAGAAGACGTCGCTATCGGTGGCCAAGTTGTGAGGAATATGGTGGCATTCGAAAGATGGCTACTTTTTTAATAGAAATGAGGTGTTCATAGATCGAAAAATGACAGACGTATAATGACTAAATTTTAGAGAAATTTATTACTAATTATAGAGGATGATTATTAGATATATCATTATAAGTTATTGTAATATATTATTATTATAAATTATTTAAATATATAATATCATTACAACAACAACCAGCCTTTGTCCCACTACGTGGGGTCGACTACATGAATCTTTTTTCTTCATTGTGTCATGTTAAAAGTCAATTTCTTGTTTAAATATAATAAAAAAAGATCATTTCTAATATTTTCTAATCAAGTCTTTTTAGGTCTACCTCTATCTTTCTTAACATAAGTCAAATCTAATACCTCTATTTTTCTAATTGGGTCATCACAAGGCCGCCGTTTTATGTGACTAAACCATCTTAGACGCTCTCTCTAATCTTATCTTCCACTAGAGCTACTCCAACCTTTTCACGAATATGCTCATTTTGTATCCTATCTCTAAGAGAAAAGCCACTCATCCACCTGAGCATCCTCATCTCTACAACACTTAACTTAGTATTATGCTTCTCTTTTAATGGCCAAAATTCGACACCATAAAGCATTGTAGGTTTCACAACCATCTTATATAATATCATTATGAGTATATTATTATTTTATAAGATATATACATATGTCTTAGGGATATACACAAAAATCAAGCATCCATTGAAGAAGGGTCTTCACATGGATCTTCTCAACAATCAAATTTTAGTTTGTGGAGTCAGATTGTAGAAGGAAAAGAGAATGAGAGGATTTATGAGTTGGGCGCATAGAATATAGCATATAATGCATCATCCTCTCATGCATCTTATTCTCGCGGCGCATAAAATATGGTTGAAGAGGTGTTAAGAAAACAGATGACCACATTGACTTAATAGATAAATTATCACATGAGTGCAATGCAAGTTATGATGAAAGCAATGCC